ATCTGAATCATTAAAGTGTGGCAAACATGCAAAAAAATAAGAAATCAGGAAGGGGGCCAACACTTTTTCACACCACTGTATATCAGAGGCAGAGAGATTGAAAAATGGTCAGGAACAGCTTAATAATTAATTAAAAAAATTAATTTGAAGTGGAACAATTAATTATATTAGTTATATATACATACATACAGATATATATATATGTATGTGCAGTTATGAATATTATATGCAAGAACCGCTTAATATCATTTTGTTTATTTAATAAAATTGTGTAATTTTTTTTTTCTGAATAAATGTTCAAATATTGTTCAATAAGTATACTGTCATCCATGTGTGTATACATTTTTATTATAAAAGATTGAAATCTGTACACAAAGTCAGATCAAACTATGGTAATTTTTTGTTTTGGCCTTTGTGTAAAGTTGGTGAAATGTCACTGACGCCCCTCTGGTTCTCACCCCTCTCTCTCTCTCTCTCTCTCTCTCTCTCTATATATATATATATATATATATATATATATATATATATATACACGTATAGTTTTTTTTATTTACTTTTAAAACTATTGTTTCAAAGTCAGTTTAGTCTTCATAACATTACAAACATAAAGAATATGAAAGACAGAATTTTACGTAGTGTAAATAGCATTGAAAACTCATTCTGTGGTGTGTGCGTGTGTGTGTACTTCAGGGCTCAGGAGACGTTTCTGCAGTGGGACCAGTGCCGTCGTTTCTATAACTTCCTGATGGCCGACAACATGAAGAAGATAATTTTGTCTCACAGGTAGGCTACTGTTGATCTCGTCCTCACTCAGCGGTGAATCTAACAGACGTCAGTGCGAGCGGTGTTGAGTGGCTGGCTGTGATATTCACTCTTCTTCTGAAACCGTTTTGAGCTCACGTCTTCTTTTGCGATCAAACCATTAGGAAACCTCAGAATAACTTACAGTAGTGCTGTCTCTGATGACACAAAAACAAGATAAATTTACTCTCTTCTGAGTGGTAAGAGAATATAAATCTAAGCACTGAGCTGTCGGTATAACAGAGTCAGTAAAATGTCATGTTTTGTGGTTCAACAGGAGCGTGTTATTCGGTGTGGGCTCCACTAAAATGGTGGACACGGATCTGAGCCGGCTCTACACTGCCACATCTCTCATGCAGATCGATGATAACATCATGAGGTGAGTGCAGGGAAATGGCTAAATGTGGTTTTTGTAATTCTCTTGTGAAACAGATACAAGACATATTTTGTGACTTGAGATTTATAATAGACCACACTGAACAAATAGTATGCACTAATTTTAAGTCATGTTCTCTCAAAATCAGTCTTCCTTCAGCCTTGTCAAAGATTTTGTGCTGTTATGAAATACCATAGTTACTACCGCTATTGTTATCACAATAAACTCGGTTGCTGCAATCTAATGAGAAAATGGTAACACTTTACAATAAGGTTACATTTATTAGCATTTTTTAATGCAGCAACTAAACAGTATTATATCAGTATTATTGATGTGCTATTATATTTTGAATTCATTCGTATTTTTATATTTTCATCTTTGTTAACGTTTTATTAATTTTGTTGTTTTTTTTATTAAGTTTGGCTTTAAAATGTCTATGTATATCAATAATTATTTTTAATTTTCATTTCAGTTTTAGTTCTTTTAGTATTTATTTCTTTTAGTTTAGTTAAACTAATAAAATGAGAAATGTTGCCTTGGCAATTGGCTGAAGTAAAATATTTTTTTATATTATTTTACTTCAGTTAACATGTATTTTATCTATTTTGTTTTTAATGATGTTAGTTAATGATAATAACCCTGTAACTGAAATGAAGTCTGAATGAACGATGCATTAACTTATCTAGTTTAATGTAATTTTTTACATCTATACAAATACATTTTTAACAGTTAAAAAAAATAAAAAAAGGTCAGGTTACACTTGATTTTAAGGTGTCCTTGTTACAGTGTAATTATACATTTAAGTACTAAGTAATATTATTTAACTACATGTACTTACTATATGGTTAGGATTAGGGTTACTTGCATGTATTTGTGCATAATTAATTGTTATTATAATAGTAAGTACAATGTAACATGTGTAACAAGGACACCTTAAAATAAAGTGTTACCAAAGGTCATTAGTTCTTGATATCTTATGGTAATGTATTAAATTAGTACATTTGGGAATGGTTTTTTACATGCTATTTCAGCAGAAAAATTTCCACATGATGTATGTTAGTAGACAGTTTGTTCCTAGTATAGCAAGTTGTCAATTTGTTTTCTAGAAAATTCCATGGGCACAACTCTCTGAAGGAGTACTACGAGAAGGAGAGCTGTGTTCATTACATTCATAACGTGAGTAAAATAATAATGCTATTTAGTGAATAGCTTTAGAGAGTATAAGGAAATACTATTATAAAATACTATGTGGTGTCATCCTGTTTATGACTCTAGTTCCTCTCTCTGTGTTGCAGATAAATGTGCCTCTTCTGCTGGTGAACTCTGGTGACGATCCGCTCGTGCACAACTCACTGCTCACCATTCCTCGCACACTCGCAGGTACAGCACCGCACATAGTCTTATCTGATTTAAAAAGAAATCTAACAGATAAGGGGAGTGTATTATACAAAATGATCATTTTTAATTCTATCCTCAACTAAATTTGTACAGTTTCCAAAGAAAATGCGAGTGGTGCTTGACCGTGGCACCATCTATTATATATGAAAAAAATCATAAGCTTGATTGCTTAATAAAGTAATGGACTGAAATAAATAAATTACTATTTTTAATTAATGAATTAATTAAAATACTAGAATGCATAAACTGGTACGTAATTGCATGGAGCTGCATGGCTGGAGTTTGTTCAGATTTCTAACCTTAAGTATGAGCAATAGTGAAAGTGTTGCTTGCCTTAAACACACCAACTAATAGTACTTTTTTTTCAATTTTAAACCTTTTTTTTTTTGCTGTATTTTTCTTGTAGTCTTTTCTGATGGCTTCTCCTACCACTTCAGCACGCCTTCAGCCTATTTCCACACCACTGATCTTTAATTAGACATTGACCTTATATGCCAAAAACACCCATAATTCCTCCAGAGACCCCAATAGATGTGCACAAGCATGCATGTGACATTCATGAGATCTCTGTTTGTTTAAACATACTATATATATAAATCATAATGTATCGAGTCATAATGCAAAAAATATGTGTCATGTGTCATAATGCAAACTATGACAAACTCTGACTGTTCGACTCTAATGGTCAACACTGGGGGAGTATTAAAACTGTTTTAGTTGCTCAGTGGCAGTGTGTCAGGAGGTCAGCATCTCGTGTGCAGTGGAAACCTGAATGTTTTTTTATGTTAGTGTGACGGGGCTCAGTATTGTTGTAAAGATTTACAAGCATGACTTCTTCAAAGGAAGTGTAGCAATCTGATCAATAGACCAAGGTTTGGCAGTATGACGATATATATTTTGCAATAGTAAAAATGGTAGATTTGCTGTAGTTCTCAAGATATATTTGCCACCGCTATCAGTGAGCAGATCAATAAGAGCAACAGTAAACAAGTAATTAATTTTCCCCTTCAGCCCTGATAGTTGCTGGCTGAATGCAGTGTTATTTTAGTGTTCTTGTTAAACTATTGTAGTTTTTATGCTGTATCTTTTTTTTTTTTTAATGAATTTTGTTTGTAATTTTGTTATGTGCTTTGACTTTTTTTAATAGTTTTTGTATTTTAGAATTTTTAATGTAACTTTTTATTTTTATTTCAGTTTTTAGTTTTAGTTCAGTTAGTAATTTTAATGCTTTAACTTAAATTTAGGCAAAATGTATTTCAAAATATTCGTGTTTTTTTTTCTTTTCTTTTCTTTTTCTTTTTTCCAGCCTTATTTCAGATAACAAAAAAATGAGTTTTAGAATTGTCCTCAGAATTGGACAGAATTATAAAGTCCTCAGAATTGGACTTTATAACTCTCATTTGCAGGTTTATATCTCACAATCCTCAGAATTGCGAGTTCATGTCTTGCAGTTCTGAAAAAAAAATCTGAATTGTAAGAGGAAAAGTTGCAATTATCTTTATTTTTTTTATTCAGTTGCGGAAACGCGCTTCTATAAAAGGTGTATTTGAATTTTGCAATTAGTCACTTGTGTTACAATTCTGACATTTCGGTTCATTTTCACCTTCCAGAAAAGAAAGAAAACGTGATCTTCGCTCTGACTCTGCACGGTGGACACCTGGGTTTCTTCGAGGGCGCTGTGCTGTTCCCTCAACCCCTCACCTGGATGGACAAGGTCATCGTGGGCTACGCCAATGCCATCTGCCAGTGGGAGAAACAGAAACCACCGTGCCAAAGTCAAGGCGCCCATTCCAGCGAAACCAAATGCCAAGACAGTACATCCTAACCGAGCCTGTCTCTGTTTCTCCTCCACCGTGACATTTTCACCACGTACTCGAGGGGTCGGACCACCATCTTCAAGCATTCACTGTCAGTGGGAATATTTGTTTCTCTTTTTTATCACGGTTTATCACCAACATGAATCGTAACGACTTTCCAAGGGAGAAAACAATGCCACTCGATGACCAAAAAACAATCAAGTAACCTGTGTAGCGAGGGCGGCGTTTTAGATTTACTGTAGTTTGTAGTTAAGATAAAATCAGTATCTCTTGCTCTCTAATTAGGACACTGAAAACTGAAAGTTTATCACTGCTAAACAGGATCTAGCAGAACTGGGTGAATCTCACAAAAATCAAAAAGGGTGGAAAAAATAGTATTTTTAGAAAATATTAAAAGCTAATATTTTGCATAAACAAAAAGAAGCCTATTTTTGAGACAATTAAAATATTCAGCATATTCAGCATAAATGTAAGCACATTTTTCCCCTTTTCTTTTCTTTTTTTGGTAAATTTCAGTTGTTTGTTGGGGTGATTTTTCTTTTTTTTTTCAGTGGTGCGTCTCATGCTTTTACTGTGTTGCACAAATAAAATATCTATTTGTAATACAATAATCTAAATCACCATTAATGAAAGGCAGTGCAACAAATAATACCGTGTTTATAGTTAAATATTTATTTTATTTTTTTTTTTGACATTACGTTAAAGGGAATGAAATTGTTTTATTTTAAGATAATGAGAATTGCATGTCACAATGCAGAACATTAAATGGTCCTTAAAATAAGATGCATTTATTTTAGCTAAAAGAACTCCTTTCATTGGTTTTTGGATTGAAATATAATCTAGACATGTTCTTGACCAGTTTTGTGAGATTCCCCCATCCGGCTTATTAAACCGGCACACAAACTTTACTGTACATAACACACGAGTTTATGGGAAGTGAGTGTTATGCAGGCACTGTGTGCTTATAGATATGACCGGCACGCTGTTTGAGTGCATATTATTATTTAATATTAAGCAACTGTCTTCAGCTCTTGGTCTGGTAACCATTTAAACACAGGCTAGCGTTCATGTCACTCTTATTTTAAAACTAACTAGACCTTTTCAAGTGTACCATAGTGTGACAGGAGAAACTTTATTAATCATGAAGCCTTGTCGGTTGAATCCAAGTCACATTCCTAGTCCATCAGTTCTTGTTTAGCACTTTTATATGACGTTTGAACTTGATGATCCCTTGTGATTACCAAAACGTGTTGACTGTCCTCACTCACGGGCCGTCCCACAAGCACTACGACCTAGTTTTAGATGACAAATCCCGTTCGGTTGAAGTTCTGTTCCTGTGGAGAACAGCACACGCTGTTGCTGCAGTATTGACTGGTGTTTGTGGAGAACCGTTGAAGTCGGTAGATCTAGATTGTGTAACGTGTTGATTTGGGACCCAGTGGGAGACACAAGTGCATTTCATCGAAAACTGGTTACTTAATGGGATTTGTGCTGTTGTATCGTTTTAGGGGTTTTCCGTTATCTTGTTCATTTTCGTTTCGCTGTTTTGTGCAATTACTTGATGTGTTGCTTTACACTCGGAATCAAGACTGTCTGAAATGGAACTGATCTTCTTGTTACCCATTAGAATAATCAAATGCAGAGGGGAAAATATATTAGATATAAGTTTACATTTGAAGGGAACATCCAAAGTGTTATTTCCAAAGGACTCTAAAAACCTTTAACACAGCAGTTTAGTGCGGTTAGACTTGATTTGTTTCAGGGAAGCCGTCGTAAGCCATCAGCCACAAAATGGCTAAGTAATATTTCACTGCACAATTCAAAAAAAAAAGAAGAAAAATAGCTTTTTGTTTTAAGAAAATTATACATATTTTTAAGACTTTAAAGGATTATTTGTATTATTTGATTGTATTATTTTCATGACAATTAAGCACATTTTTCTTCCCACTTTGTAGTTCTCAATATCTCTCGTTATTTCTCATTATTGTAAAATTTTTCTAACAGTAAATTTTTTTTTCATAAAAGTAATATTCATCATAATGTTTTTTTATTTGTGTTGAAAGATTACTTTGCCACAT